AAGAGGAGGTTGGATGACCACCTTACTGGGGTCATTTGACCCCAGTGCTCTTCCTGCCATGGCAGGGGGTCGGACTAGATGATCTGCTCAGGTCCCTTCTGACCCTAGAAACTATGAAACTATGAAAACTAAACTCTACCAAAGTGAAACACCCTGCTGCACATGCTGTTCTCTGCCTGGGTATACAGTGAGAGCTGCCACAAACCACACAGGAAAGATGTTGGTCACATCAGTAAATTCTCTACTGAAATATACTCTAGCATTAAAAGTGGTATCAGACTCTAGGTAGAATACATCTCTTGGGAAGTTTCTCTGGCGCCAAGATATAGATCAATCTCTTTCTGAAAGCCCTGACCCCATCTGTGATTAGATTTCTCTGGTAACTTTGCTGAATTCACCTAACTCCTTGGTATTGTACAAGGAAAACCAATGCTAGGAAAAGGATTTGGAGGATCCTCTGAACCAAAATAAAACAAAATGTCAGAGGTTGCAATGTGTGGCCTGGGTAAGAAACATTTTGACCCCTGACTTCCATTTGGTTTGTGAACCCTAAATGTAAAAACCGTCAAATGTACAAAGATGTTAGTTTCAGAAGTTTGTTCTGGAGAATGGAGTATAATACTTTACCGCATGTTGGATTGAGAGGTGTAATTCTCAATCATCAGTCTGAAACAGGCTACATAATCTAAAAATATAGTCTTTCATGATATGAACAGCTTTCCTGAACTTCCCAAAACCAGGATAAAAACAATTAAATTGGTTTTACTGTATTATCCTCTCAAAATCTTACTAGGATTTTCTTTAGCATGCTGCGAAGATCCAGTTTTCCATGCATCACAGCATCTGGTAGTTCAGCAGGAGCAGCTTTAATACCAGTGTTTTCTTTCCCCAGTTTGTGTGCACCGTGATAGCCATCCTCCTGCACTACTTCTACATGAGCACCTTTGCCTGGATGTTTGTGGAGCAACTTCACATCTACCGCATGCTGACTGAAGTGAGGAACATCAATTTCGGACATATGAGGTTCTACTACGTTGTGGGTTGGGGGATTCCTGCCATTATAACAGGTAAGGGAAACAGGTAATGGGAGGCCACCAGTTCTGGAAAGTCAAAACACCTTTGTTTTGTTTCCTCTTTTCCACTTATAAGCCCCATACAGGAGAGCAATTCAGAATGTGCCTAGTAAGTTGAGCATGTGCTTACATGCTTTCCTGTATCAAGCCTAGGTTGAAGAGTAAGCAAAAAGATGTCAGACTGAACCTGGGAAATCAGTGCACCAGATGCCTTTTGCCAAACCAAAACAATTTGCTTATGTTTACAATGGCATGAACATAACTGAATTTAAATGAAAACAAGACGCCTCAGCATTGCCCAGGAACAACATTATATGTATTGTAATTACTTTACCTGTAGCTTAAAGTAATTTTGCTCCTCCTGCACAGAGAAACTAATAGTGCCCATTTTTGCAGTCAGGCATGTGAAACATTACCTCAAGTACATAGAATAATGTTGAAACAAGCACACAAGAAACTGGGAGAGTGAGTTTTGCAGAAGAGCTAGGGGCATTTGTTTTTGTTTAAAATGCTTCAGGATATATCTATGTTTATACCTAAAATAATCAGGAACTAAATACTTTTTCATACATTAGGTTTATTCTTGCAGATAAAATACTGTCATTAATAGTGGAAGTTTTAATGTCTTCAGATGGGAACAGACGGCACTCGTTTTTCTGAGTGAGACTTCTCCAAACGTATGATTTTTTTCTGTGTAGTACAGATGTCTTTTCTAGGTCTGGTTTGTTTTCTACAGCACTCTAGGAAAAAAAAACCGGGGAGGCAGGGGGGGAGAGGAATTGCTTTTATCTAGTCATCTAATAGATAGCAGGGCAATTTGGAAGATTCTCCTAGTTCCAAGACATTCCCTGTTTTAGATAGGCAATTGCATTTGTCATTTTAGAATCTTTCAGACAAATGAAACATTTTAACTGACATTTTTGCCACCAGATTTACTGCAAACAATAGGTAATGTGATGACTCAAAATAGGGACAAGGTTCATGAACAGCCACCATGAGTCATGTTTGATTTCACGGGGTGTCAGAACTCCGAAGTGTGAAAATGTGTTCCTTGGGAAACGCATCATCCTGCATGCGTGACTGGCGGGGAGGTAGGAGGCTGATCCCACGTGTT